AAAAAAGTCGGCTCCCATTAAAGCGGCTCCCTCTTAGGAGCCGGCTCATGTCGTTCACTTCAAAGAGCCGGCTCTAAGAGCCGGTTCGTTCGCGAACGACACATCACTATTAAGCACAGTGAAGCTGTGGGAATGAATGAGAAGAGAGTCGCGACGTAACCAGTAATAAGAAGCTGATTCGGAACAAAAGTTGTGCGAGTTGGAGCGCATATTTAGTCAATGACATGTCCACACAATTGTACATACACACATATGTTTGATCACTTACTTTTTGACATTTTAGGGGAAGCTAAGCTTCCCTTGCAGTCTTCGATCAATCGCCTCTGCTGTATGTATGTATGTGTACACACACACATTTATTTTTATTTTTTTTACAGATATGTGCTCAAATTTCATTGGGGTCAATAAAGGATAGTGATGAAATTGTTCAAGCTCGGTGAAGAATGGAAATCACACACACACACACACACACACACACACACACATATATATGCGTGTGCGCACACAAGATTCAATTCACATTTAAAACCACAGATTCCTCTCAGTTTATTGGAAAGTCCAAAACCTTTCTCGTCAGAAGTTGTACAAACGAAAAACAATCTAAAAAATGCGATACGTAGATACCACAAAAGGAAACCACCAGTTTTGCTGGCATATGGGTTCTGTAAAAAAACAACAGTGCCTTGACAGTACTCGTTTTTGCCACAACAACAACAAAAAAAATCGTACATCCTGTGGGGATTTCACTTTTCTTATTTTGCAAGGGTGCAGCACAGTAATTAGAAGTTGTGATTGTGACAGCTGAGCTGTTCACGTTCACAGGTAAACACAATTTTTTATTGTCAAATAAATACAGTAGTCATTTTGACAACTTGGTCCAATGAGGGAAAAAAAACCCTCTGAAAACAATCAACTGCTGGAAAAAAAAGCGCAATGGCGACCCCACCAAATCATTGCTGGAATGTCGCAACACACCATTGGATCATGTCCGTCTGTAGCATTATCACCAGCACGGTTGCTGATGGGACGGCAGCTGAAAGGAAGACTCCCAATCTCAAACTCTCTGCATACACTGGACAGAGTCGTCCAGATGCGATCATTTGAGAAGGAAGCAATGAAAGCAAAAACTGTACTTTGAGAGGCAAACCAACAGACGCTCTGAGATTACCTGTTAAACATAACGTGCATGACCAAATGCACAAAAAGTAAACTTCTCTCATAGTTCCCAAAAAGGCTCGAGATTAAAACAGTATTTAACATAATTAAAATACATATTTAAATAAGATGCGCCTTCAGCCTTCTCTGAAAAACATCAACAGTCTCTGCGGACCTGATGTCCTCTGGCAGGCTACTCTAAAGCTGGGGACCAAAATGGCTGAATGCAGCCTCACCATGTCTTCGGGTCCTCACCCTAGGAATAAATAAAGGCCAGTGCCAGAGGACTTTAGGGATGAAATGATAAAAGCAGGTCAGATAAATACGATGGTCCAAGACAGTTACGGCATTTAAAAACCAAAAAAAAAGCACATTAAAATCAATCCTGATATATACAGGGAGTCAATGCAGGGATTTTAAAACTGGTGTAATGATGTGTTCCCACCCTCTGTCCCTTGTCAGGACTCGTGCGGCCAAAAAGGGTGATGTTGTATTAAAATTGCCTATAGACGAGGCAAACTCCTCTAATCATTTCAAAAAGCACCAAAGCATTGCTGTTGAGCACAAAAACAGCAAATAGGTTGGTTTTCTAGCAAATAACAGGATACCCCCCCCCCACACACACAAAAAATAAATAAAAAATAAAAAATTCAGTGAAGAACAAAATCCCCGATCTGTAAATATCCACTTGAGTGCATTAACACAGTTGTACTTCACATTGTTTAGTATGACTTGAATGTCCAAACAAATTTTACAGTTGCGCTATGAAACAACCGTTTCAATAAAGGTTAAAAAAAAAAAGAAAAGAGTGAAATATATTTGAACAATGTCTTGAGCAAAATCAGTCTTTCCTGTTGCACGACCTGACCTGAAGTCTCAGCAGGCGGTGAATTCACCCTTTGGTCGAGCCGTCTGCTGAAGTCTCTCCAGCCTCTCCTGCAGCATCTGAGCGCAGCCTGACAAATCCATGTCATGCAAGGTGGAGAAGATGTCTTCGAGGTTGGCTGAAGAGCGCTTGCACCACAGACACAGCATCTGGTACTGCTTCTCCAGGAGGCTAAAGCCGGCTTCCATCTCGATGCGTTCCAGCTGGTGGTCTGCCACCGAGAGCATTCTCAAGAACTCCTTCCAGCGACGCAGCGGGACCTCGTTAATGATCGCGTACAGGACAACGGGTGGCCAGTGCCTGCTAGGTTCCTCTTGTTCGCCAACTTGGGAGAAGGCAAGTGACGGTAAACCAATAAAATGAGATGTTGGGAAAGTTCAGCTGTGACATTCAGTTTGTGGAGCTTTCCACTTACAGTCAGTGGAGCCTCCAAAATCAAATGGCCAAAAACATAATTGAGCTTTCAAAAAATAGTCAAAACATGACCTAGTTGGTTTCACTGTAAACATTGTGGCAAATGGAATGAGGTTGTTTACAAAAAAAAAAAACAGTCACTGTTGGCATAAAATCAGATGATCGTGGCTAATTTTTCTCATTGTTGTAAAGTTAAAAAAATACAAAATGACAAAGTAGTGTAAAACAGTCAAACGTTTTGCCTGTGTTATGCAACCAACAACAACTGTTTTAATTAATCGGCCAAATTGATCAGTTATCGGAATTTTATTCTGCCAGGTATCAGAATCGGGATCAGCCTCAAATCGGCACCTATTATCAAGTTTGTGACTGTTCCGACATGTCAATCAAATATTTTACAAAAAGGTGACGAGCAACTGTTATTCCCAATATGAAACAGGCGACATAAGTAGCATCATTTTCACATTGTCTTGGAAAACAGACAGGAGCAGGGTTGACGATAATGACCTCACCAACCAACCACATGGTGCCCATTTATATGTCACAAACCGGGCATTTATTGACCTATTGGAACCTTTTGAGCAAAGGTATGGAATCATTTGTCCGCAATAGCTGCAAAATATTCATCCACCCTGCAATGTAGGCAGCGGAGAGTCTCTCCCAGCTCACTTTAGGTGAAACTGATTCAGAACTTAATCAATGCTGCCTGCCAGGGGAGTGAACGACACCATCAGTGACTGCACGAAAATATCCATACCACGAATCACCACATCAGAGTCCTACATTCAGCATCTATACTGTCCGAAGCAAGATCACATGACTATCAAACATTAAGACATTTTGGGGGTGAGTGTTTGAATATTTCAACAGCTCCTCAGAGAATTGGTGAGGTGATAAGGCCCGACATGTCAGTAATATTGCGTGCATCTTCACGGGCTTACTCAGTGGGCGGCCTTTGATGTCATTTGTTCCAGTTTCCCTTGAACAACCACATACTGACTGTCGCCCCACTTGTGGTGAACCTTCACCGCCTATGCAGGTTTGCTGATGTCAATCGAGAAAGTCAGTTCTTGTAAAAAAATAAATAAATAAATAATAAAATAAAAAACAAAAGGGGCGGCCCAGTGGTCCAGTGGTTTGCGCGTCGACCTCACATTGCAGAGGTACCGGGTTCAATTCCAGCTCCGGCCTCCCTGTGGAGTTTGCGTGTTCTCCCCGGGCCTGCGTGGGTTTTCTCCGGGTTGTCCGGTTTCCTCCCACATTCCAAAAAAAAACTGCATGGCAGGCTGACTGAACACTCTAAATTGTCCCTAGGTGTGATTGTGAGTGCGAATGGTTGTTCGTCTCTGTGTGCCCTGCGATTGGCTGGCGACCGGTTTAGGGTGTCCCCCGCCTACTGCCCGAAGACGGCTGGGATAGGCTCCAGCACCCCCAGCGCCCCTTGTGAGGATAAGCGGATCAGAAAATGAATGAAAGAATGAATGGAAAAAAACAATAGCCGCATGCATAGTTTTCAGCTTCAATGACATAATATGCAGCCTGCCATGCATGTTTTTGGAATGTGGGAGGAAACCGGACAACCCGGAGAAAACCCACACAGGCACAGGGAGAACATGCAAAGTCCACACAGGAAGCTGGAATCGAACCGTGAACATCTGCACTGTGATGCGGACGCGCTAACCAGTGGATCAGCGTGCCGGCCATATAATAATGCATTACAACAGCACTGCGTCTAATTTGCTGAATCATGTTACTTGGTCCTTCCGTCATAACACCGCTTAGAAAACCCTCGTGATTGCGTCTGCTTACTTGAGCACCAAACATAAAAGATGTTGAACTAATTGAAATTGCATCAAGAGCAGACAAAGGTCCAATACCAATGCAATCTCCTTGAAAATACCAGTAAAATCAAGTAGCTGATCCAGTTACAATGTACTTGTACATTATAAAGCTGCCATAAAAAGCACCATTTCCAAAATACTCCACGTGCCCTTGAAATGTAGTTATAAATAGCAGATGTATCATTATTGTTATGCACACCCCTTACCTTTGTGTTGGGAATCTGCCAGTAAAGCATCGATGTGGTCGATACATGCTGGTGTCTGACAGGGTGTCATCATGGGGATTTCCTCACACACACACGAACTGTCTTGATGAAGAGTTACAAAAAAAAATAAATGAAAGGAATCACCGTAACAACATCCTGTCATAATCTTGACTCGTTTTTGTGGCCATGGCCAAATCAACAAACACAACCCCAGCTACCCCAAACAAACACCCACACACATTTTCCCCCCCTGCCAACAACTTGACAGAGCGATCGAGATGAGCTGCTTTGCTTAAAACTAAGAAAAGTACCGAGAGAGTAAATTGGGACTTGTGGAGGCAGAATTCTATCACCAAACCACCCAAGTACACTTGTCATAGCGGTGGCACAAATCTGAATAAAAAGCTAATAATTTCCCATATTATGTTGCCTTCAATAGTCATGAGTTCAAATAATTATTTGATATTTAATAATGATAATATTAATTCTAAATCAACTCTATCTCAACAGGAACAAGATACATGATCGGAAGACCGTACCAGTGTGGTTGGGTGGCCGCCTGGGTGGCTGAGTCTCCGCAGAGAACAAAATCGAGCTAATCTGTCAGTGTCCAATGAAATGTAATATATGTGGACGTGCACGTTGGCATGTTATTCCGCAATTTGATTACAAATGAACTTGCTTACCGTTGCATACCTCAGGAGGGTTCTCAGGGTTCTTGATGTTTCTCCAGTGGGGAGCAGAGCGCAAGTAGAAGCCAAAGCAGATGCAGAGCGCCAGAAGCCAAAGGAGCACCACAACCAAAATGATGACCATCCACCGTCCATCATCTTTTGCTGTGAATGCCACAACAACCCTATTAAGTGTCACTGAAATAATTCAATGATATTTTTGAGGAAGACAGGGTAGCACGTTGCGCAACATACCTGGAAGCGGACTTTGACTTGGTGATGTCGTGTTTAAATTGGGGCGCCCTGCGGCTATTGTTAATGTGTTTATTAAGGCAGCTGTGGTATCAGGTGGAGTTGCACATTTTCTTTTGCATTCTGCAGCTTTCAAACCCTGTTCCCTGAAAAAAACGACATGAACATGGGTAGAATTCGTAGAATGCAGTCATCCAAAACGTCAGACGGATGTGTGACTGACTCTCAGAGATTTATTTTCGTCGATGGCGCACATGAGGTCGGACGTTAAAATGGACACATCTTGAATTTCGTGCTGATGCCAGCGTTTAGCGTGTTAGGGAATTTGGCAGACCGCACGGTGACATCCTGGGCATTCCCAGCAGACCGTGGCCGTTTTTTTTTACATTCGCCCTGTGTAACTGAAAGTTTGATAGCAGAAAGTAGACTAATCTTTAGACCAACTAAAAGCTGGTCTAAGATGCGGTGTAGGCAATTTTGGTGGATTTGATTCGAGGTGCAGGCAGAGAGAGTGCAAAAATATGTCTGGATCGGATTGGCACTGTCTGAGAGGTGTTTTGTCAAGCGTTATATACTTTGTGTAATGTTTTATATCATCGCTCTAGATTGAAGTGCCATTGAGGTGCACAGCATTATGTTGATAGCTGTTTCCAAAATGTTGTTCCCATTCTGTATCTCTATTTTGAAATAATGGCCTCCGTTCTTTCATCACATTTCAATGAATCGTCCATTTCAACAGATCAATTCCTCTCCTCTGAAAGATAACTAAAAAGAGGAAAAAAAAATACCGTGGGTGCCACAACAACATAATTACCTTCGCTATTGCTACAATAGAGTATAGTGGCCTAAAATATAACAACAACAAAAAAGTAATCAAGCAGGTGTCTGTTTAACAAATGGCAAGACTGCTAAAATGAGGCAATTCCCATGAAACGACTCTCATTTGACCAATTAGCGAGACTCACTGCTGCCTATCTCCATTAGCCAAGCATTTTTTTTTACAATTACTGGCCATTGAAAAGACCGCCGCCATCAAATAAAGTGCCACTTTGGGCTGCAGTTGAGTTATAGAAACATCTTCAGCCATTTGTTTGAGCAAATACAGAAGCTCACCATAAGATAAAACAAACTGGTATAAACACCAATGTCGTGAAGTGCCGTGAGCAGTAAAATCAGAACCATGCCACCAATATAAGGGCAACATTTCTCTTACTGCTCTTGACCAATTTTCATGACGATCATGCATCATTTTCCCAATGACTATTCCCAACTATTAACAACAAATACTCACTTGAAGCATGCCTCATATTTCCGTTGGTCATAACGGCTCTTCTCAGAATCTAAATAAAAAAATAAAAAAAAGTTGTTTTTTTAAAGGTGGAAATAATACAATACAGTGAATCCCAATACTGAGGCTTGACTTAACTTGGTTACCTGTACAAGCTTCACACTGGCATGGAAGGCAATTGAAGCTTTTATGGGTACCTGCATTGTAGTATCCGTCCTTGCACTCACACACCGTGTTACTGTTAGAGACGCATGGCTTTATTTCCACTTCATTAACTGAGGATAAATCAGAAAGGCTCTCGGTTAATCGCCTCTTTCTCATGCTTTAATTTTTTTGTGGTATTTACATTTCAATATGTAGAATAGAAGATATCTTGGTATCATCGAGAAGACGAATGCGACTTACTACCACACATGCTTTTACACCTCAGGCATTTGTCTCGGGTATTGGGTATTGCTGTGAACGTGCCATTGAGACATTCTCGACATCTATACTTTGAAGCGGGATCGTCACAGTTTCCCTCTTTATAATAACCTGGAGAAAGTAGAGATACGTACAATAAATCCTGTCAAACACATAATAAGAAGAATAATAACAAGCAATTCTAAATGGATGAACTTGCCAGCTGGACACTTTTCATAACACGAAGAAATGGGCAGCTTACTGCTAAAGTGTTCTCCTTTGGAAGGCAAGGCCATGAATAGGAAAACCTAAAAGACAAGACAGAGATGCAAGAAATGCCAACAAATTGGGAAGATAGACCGCATGAAACAACAAGAAATGTAACTGAAAAAGGTCAAACCGGGGCACAATTGAACACGGTCGAACAGTCCGTTATTGTAGTACGGGATCGTACCACACGATGGCGCTTCTTTAATTTATTGTGTATGGTGGTCACCTTTTTCCCTTTCTCTTTTTAATCAAAGCATTTTTTTTGTCTTGAATTTGTAAAAAAAAAAAAAAAAATCCTATTTTTATTTTTCACGAATGAAGGGTTCGGTGAATGTGCATAGGAACGGGTTGGGTACCTCCAACAAGGCTAAGAACAACTGCTCTCTAGTGTGCGGCTCCCAATAAATCAGTACAATTAATATCTGCAAACAGAAAGGGAGCAGAGTAAAAAGTAGGAATTAAGAGGATGAGTGCTGGCTTTTCTCCTTGTAACCATTGGCATACAGTTGTGAATTCTATTTCGTTTTATGCAGTTTTTTTTTCAAAGCGTGTAACTATTCGAAGTGTTTTATTTACTTTTACATACGTACATTTATTTAATATACTGTATAGATTTATAAAAGAGTTAAGGAGCCGGTAATGATCTTTGCCATCGCCTATTTTACCTGGCAGCAGTTGTGTTATGTATTTGTATTTTTATTAAAAAACAAAAACAAAAAAAAACAGTGAAGTGACAAATATAACAAGTTGAACAAGCACTTTTTTTTTCAACTTTAAGCACTGGATACAACATCCAAAACGTCTGACTTTAAACACTCACCAAATCCATTTTGAAAGAGCAAATCTTGAGGCAGGAAAGCATCCCGTTGCAATGAGTTGTAGTTGGTCATCTGACAAGTTTACCACACAGCATGGCATCATCATTATCATCATCATGAGAGGGTGCCCCTATCAAGATGAGTCTTTCAAAGCATCCGCCATCATTTTCTGGAAAGCCCGATCAAACAAGGAGTGAGAGGAAGGCTTGAGAGATCGCGTGCATCCGTCTGACATGGGTGACATTTATATGGTCTTCACAGAAGTGCTGCAAGAAAGAAAGAGGAAATGCAGTGACATCACTTTACACCTCCGCATTGACGGTGGCTACTGTTATCAGCGTCGCAAGTTCCATTTCATGATCGTTCCATAGATGTCTGCGAATCTCCAGTCATTACAGTAAATCATATCCAGTGTGTGTCTTGAGATATCCCGTGTGTGTGTGTGTGTATACTGTGTATGTGTGTGTATGTGTGTACTGTGTATATGTATATGTGTGTATATAATCAAGTACTTATGTGTACTGTACTTATCTATTTATACACCTTTCTATATATATATATATATATATATATATATAAGGAAAAAAGCGATATCCATACCGGAGTTTGAACAATATAGTACGTAATCCTATTCACTTTCAGTGCTCTCCAACCATTATTAAAAAAAATACTTTTTTTTTTTTGCATTTGAAGAATTTCATCACATAAAATGCAAAAACAAAAAAGGGAATAGATAGGTTTATTTGTTTCTCTCTGCCAATGTAATTGTTCTGCTTTTTCATAATACGTCATTGGCATCGATAGACGGTGTTGTTGTCAATAGATGATGATTTTCGGACCATTTTTTTTTTTGAAATGGCTGGTGACCAGTCAAAGATGTAAACCACTTCTTGCCCCAAGTCAGCTGGGAATGTCTCCAGTTCATTCCTCACACCAGCATAGATGGTGAGGGGCCCATGACCTGGAGCAAATTAGCAGTAAGAATGATCCAGTACAAATTTGTAGTTTAATATAACTGAGTGTGTATATTTACAATTTTATTGCACTTACACTTTGCAGTAATTATCCTTATTATCATCAACATTACATTTAGTAAACATGTTAAACTATGCACACCTCTTAACATGGCTTACATACTGGGCTGAGTTTGAGCGCATTTATTCTTGTTTTGTCGCTTCCTTTTTGCATAATCATTTTCTCGACTTGCACACATTTGCACATTATGAAGCTGGAATGCAACACACACACATGCAGCATGAATTGACTAAAGACATTCTCACAAGTGAAGCCGCCCCAAACTGTAACAGAAAAAAATCTGGCGGGCTTCTCTATTCTATCACAACGGGGTAGAGAGTTTTAAAAATACACATTAAGTCATTATTTTAAAACTGTCTATTTCCCCAGTTTTTGTGCGCGTGTGCGTGCTTGCAGCTCCATCGAGGCTGCAGCACCGGTGGCACCCAGAAGTGAACAAAGCGACCCGGAAGCGTTGCTCGAACTGGAGGCAGGCAGAAAGAACAACCAGCCTTTTTTTCCTCCTTTTTCTTTTTTTTGGTGTATATGAAAGCTGTGCTCGCAAGACAACACCTGCAATCAGGACCAAAGGTATTTAATTTGTGCATGTATTTTCTTTCGATTATCTGCTCCAAACGGCTTCACCGTACACGAAAAAAAAAATTCCAGCCGCCGTTTTTTTTTTCATTCGTTCAAAAGTTCCAGAATTGAAAAAAAGAAAGAAAGAAGCACATAAAGTGGGATTTGGTTAAGATGGCACTTCGCCCTTTTACCACTGCATAGTCGAGGCTTTGTGTAGAAGAACGATAGGTGTCCGTTTATGGACCGCGCTGTTTGAGACCGCATCTTGTCTTCTGTTTCCGCGCTGCTTTTTTTTTCCCTCCCCCCTCGACAGGGCATGGTTGTTGTAGGAAGTGTCAGTTTTTTTAAGGGGTGGGGAGGCCGGGCTATTCAAAGCTGCGAGGGGCCGTAAACAATACATCATGCTAACACGGACGCGATAAACACGCGTAAAAATGCTACACGTCCTCGGCCACAATCCGCTGACAATATTTTTGGGGAGGGGGCAGGGAGAAGAAGACTGCAGAATATGGCGTCCCGCCTAATAAAAATAAGGCTGCCATTTTTGTTTCTCTTTTGTTTGGGAATGTTTTAAGATGGACCGTCTAGGTCGGGTCGAAAATGTGAGTTCCGAAACGCCCCCCAACAGCCTGACGATGGGCTTTCGGGGGTGGTCGAACACGGACCATGCGAAGGCAAAGTTTCGAATAAAAAAAATAAAATAAAATAATAATAATAATCCAAAACGTCGACTAATTTCTGTACGGAGACATTACATGAACAGTAGAAAGGACAAATAGGCCAAATGAATTAAGAAAATAAGGTACATTTAAAAGCTAACGCCTACGGCAAAGCAGTCCAGTTTTTTTTTCAATTTAAATTGGATGATGTTTGAACTGCAACTCGTGGCGGCAAACTTCTGTTATAACATGAGGTCTCAATTTGTCCAATTTCCATTTGTTTTTTTTTTGTCATGAAGAGTTGCACACAATATTTTATAAATACAAACGTTTAATCGACGTATAATGCGATGAGTTAAACTGCAAAAATAGTCTTCAAAATAAAACAATCAAGTAAGAATAGAATATTTAATTGAAGTAAAATTACTCTTATCCCCACTCTTATCTCATTAAATGTTTTGAATTTTAGGATGGCAGAGCCTCGATTTAACAACCCTTATTTTTGGCCACCACCGCCATCCATGCCTGGCCAGGTAAGTCAGCTTTTCATTGATCTCTGATGTTTCCATCTTCTGTTGTTGGCATGTGTGAATGTCTCGTGGTGACAAAAAGCTACTAGATCAAAGATCAGTTCTGATTTCTGGAAAAAAAAAATCGGATGAAACGTTCAAACAAACGTTTATTTTATTTTATTTTGAGAGTTAAAAGTTTTGCAGCTTTTGCATGAAGTGAGGTTTATTTATTTTTTTTAACGCTCTTTGTGTCGCAGTCATTTGTCCTGGAAGAATCACATGTAGACACAGTGTCAGTTTTCTGTTGAGCATGACCCGTTAACGCTTTCAGCTGGATAACCTGGTGCTCATCAACAAGATCAAGGAGCAACTGATGGCCGAGAAGATCCGACCCTTGCATATGCCCCCTACCTCCACCCCTTCCCAGCAACCTCTGTTGGTGCCCACCTCATCCTCGGAAGATGCCGGCTCCCAGCATGGCATGCCGGGTCCCAAGCCACAGCTGCCGGGCCACCACCCGCCGCAGCAGTCTGACATCACTCTCCACGCTCGTTCAGGTTCCAGCTCTGGACCAGGTAGTAAGCGTTTCTCCTTTTCTTTCATGATGTTATCCCTAATTCCTCTCATGGAATTCCCTCAGTTTTATTGCTATTTATGCCAATTTTCTCACAATAAAGACAAGAGTCTGGAAGGACTTGATATGAGTAACGTTTGGTATCGCCCCCTTAACTTCCAGATGGAAGTATGGACGAGAAGTTGGCTGTGAAGGCCAAAGGGTTATGGGAGGACTGGCACATGAGGACACTGAGTGAGCAGCACGCCCGCGCCAACCATCGCTCAGGTACTGCAGATAATACCTCTTCAGTCAATGGACGTGGAAGCTAAAATTAGCATTGTCGCCGCGCTTGGTGTTGTGTCCGTATGCGGGCCCGCATAACATAGACACTTCAGGGAAAGTGTATTCATCATATTTTTATTTTCAGGAATGAAGGGTTCGGTGAATGTGCATATGAACTGGTTAGGTATGGTACCTCTAACAAGGTTAAGAACCACTGTCATAAATACGTATATTGTACTCTCAAATTTATAAACTTATTCAAAAGAGACATTATTCTAGGGGGTGTGAGACCATATCAAAGGATTTTTTTGAGACGTGAGGCGTAGGTTGAGAACTATAGTCATCGATAAAATACATTTAAAGTTGTCTTCAATCTCTGGAATGTCAAAAATAATTTATAAAAGAAATGGTTACTTTGCTGGCCTTGAAACTGTTAAATTCGCACTCTGGTATCCTTTCATTCCAGTTTAATATCAAATGACGTGGGGGGGGGGCGGAAAATGCGTATCGTCTTGCAATCTGCCAACCCTAAATTGGAATTACCGATGCTTTCCATCAAGCAGATGGCATGTAAATGACATAACATCATTTGCTGTATGGAGTCAATGTTTGCAATCGAATTGTCCTGCGCGTCACCGCCGCAGGTCCAGCTCCTTCATCCCGACCCGAAAGCCACAGCACCTCCGAGGCCCAAACCCCCACGACGCCAACCTCCAGCAGCCAAAACCGCCTGGGTGGCGCCCCCTCTCTCAACATTATCTCCGGGCTGGCGAGTGGTCCTGGCATGGACCACATGAAGGTTGGAGGCCTGGCAGGACTATTGGGCCCCCCACCCAAGGCACCACGGGGGCGAAAGAAGATTAAAGCTGAGAACGCGTCAGGTCCTTTGCTGGTGGTCCCTTATCCTATTCTGGCAGACCAAGGCTGTGTCACCGTGGCACCCAAAGAGGGCAAAACATACAGGTAGGACGCTCAAAGCTACTGTTGTCTCACCAAGATAGCTCTCATGTATTTATGTTGAGCTCACTTCCATCCTAATTTTCGTTACCAGACTATTCAGAATGAAGCAGGTCTCTGAACCTCACTCTAACAATACATTAGCCCAGCAGCTCTCCTAACACTTTAATTGTGGCCGTTTGTGGACATTTCCTCCAGTCGCCTCGAGTTTAAATAAGTCGGCTGTTGCTGATCAAGAGAGAGCTCTTCCTCATTGAGACGTCGACATGTGTCTAACCTGAATGGATGAGTGCCTCACTAAGTGGATCATGAATCGATAACAATTGTTGTTGTGACACAAGCATTGACATTGATTTCCCGTGTTTAAAAACAAGCCTTATTAAATCAGGATCCAACATTAACGGTAGCCCAATGGCCTTCGCCAACTACAAACAGCAAGTGAATTAAGTGCTACGCGGTAGTTAGCCGAAAGTAGATGCTTTTAAGTTTAAAAACATATTCATAATTATCGACACAAAAAATATTTATTCACTTAAATCAATCAAACCATTTCACCCCACTGCGCACATTTTTTGTGCATGTCGAAAAACGATCCTCGATCAGCGGCCAGAAGAGGGATTTATTATGCAAACGGCTTTGACTGTTAAGGTTGCTGCAACGACCCACTCCAAGTAAAATTTCCCAGGCTAAATCTCTGAGCGAAACTATGTTCTAATTTTATTGGAGCACCGTGTTTTCGTTGAATCGGAAAGTCTATAAAATATTGCCAAATCAGAAGTTTATTTTAATGTGTCATTCTGTAAATAAAACTCTCATTATGTTGTTAGATATTAGAACAGTGTTATAGTGTCAACACAAGATATTGACTAAATTAGACATCAAAACTTGGGAAAAAAAACATCAACTGTCCATAATTTGCCTCCAAACTAGTCAGAGAGGGAACAAAATAAATCCAAAATGATGGTTACAATTTAATCTATGTATATGTATGTTTACCCAATCATTGAAACTTAATGTTCCTCTTGATGAATATACGGGGCTGGTACCGCTTCTGACAAGGCCGCCACGACTTGGATCGGGCCACCACTCAAAAAGGCTTCATGTCAGACCCCGTTTTATTATTCCATTTGTTCATTTCTATTACGCACAGTTGATTAAATAGTAAAAAATACATTTCACAACTGTAGCTCGGACCTCGTAATTGTGTACATACCTAACGTTATTTTTGGAAGGCTGTTCGATCAACTATCAATGCCGTTGAATTCAAATCGATCATCCAATGCGCTTGTTTTTGTGGCGCTCACATTTACTGATCATCGTAATTAAATTACACAAACACCAGGGGGAGGCAGACAATGAAAAATCGCAGCCGTTCAAAGTGCTCATCAAGCTGTCGCCTTGTCTTCTTATTCAAGGTGCAAAGTGTGCCCACTCACCTTCCTCACCAAGTCCGAGATGCAGATCCACTCCAAGTCTCATACGGAGGCCAAAGCACACAAGTGCCCCCACTGCTCCAAGACATTCGCCAACGCCTCGTACCTGGCCCAGCACCTGCGTATCCACCTGGACATTAAACCGTATCACTGCTCCTACTGCGACAACTCTTTCCGCCAGCTCTCACATCTGCAGCAGCACACCAGGTCGGTCAGATGTCAGCGGCCTTCAAAGAGAATCATCGCTACCCAGTTGACATTTTGAAATGGAAACGCGACACTCATTCCGACTTGGTTGCTCCTCTTCCTCTGTCGCAGAATCCACACCGGCGACCGGCCTTATAAATGCGCTCACTCCGGATGTGAAAAAGCTTTTACGCAGCTGTCCAATCTCCAGGTGGGTTTATTTCCGCCACTCTGGCTTCGATCCGCTGAGGGAGACAATAAGTCAAGGGTCCTAGCGATGATTAAAAAAAAAAAAAAACAATGATCAATGTTTCTTTCCAGTCTCACCAGAGGCAACACAATAAAGACAAGCCGTACAAATGTCCCAACTGCTACCGTTCCTACGCCGACTCGGCATCGTTGCAGATCCATTTGTCGGCGCACGCCATCAAAAACGCCAAGGCCTACTGCTGTAGCATGTGTGGCCGGGCGTACACCTCGGTAAGTAAACTAAAACACCGGCATGCATACCTGTACCTGTGTGTGGCAATGATTCTCATCTATAAGGGAAGCCTATCGCACAATCGTGTGTACCAGTCAATAATTGTATTTATATTGCATGCTGTTTTGCGACTGCTATGATAAACTGCAAAGTCAGCGACTCTGAGCAGTCATTATTGATTAACTGATGGGCATTCAACAGCACGGCATGTCTCGTTTTCATCTTCTCAATGCGCAAGAGCAGTCACGCCCCAGTTTAAACCACCGCCTGTCAAACACAACGCCCGAGCTGGCCCGCCGTATCATTTTATGTGGGTCACGGAGGCAAATAAGGCGCACCAAATAATGCTAAAATATCAAACATTGCGGATGGTCTTTTTAACTTGTAAAAAGCTTGTAACCGAACTTTGAGATATTTCTTTTTGCTACCAACATGCTTTAGACAAGTAGTAGAGCAAAAAAAATTTGCTGGCTTCTGATTTCAAAAGGAGTTGTCCATCAATGTATAAATACGATGATATAAGGCAATCATAAATATACCGTATTTTCCACACTATAAGGCACACCTAAACGCATTCCACTTTCTCAAAAGCCGACAGCGCCTTATAATCCGATGCGCCTTCTATAAGGATCAATCTTCTGATTTCTTGGATGTAGGATTTTCAATGTTCTTTAAAGTGCTTTGTTATAGCTGCAACAGTTGTGAAAGCGCAATATGAATAAAGCTGTTTTGTGACGTATTCTCTTCAATGTAGCTCCATCTAGTGGATGCATAATGCAACAGCAGCCCCGATTGTAGCTTCTATTCTATGCACCTTATAATGTGGTGCACCCTAAATATGAAAACAGTTTTAAAATAGGCCATTCATCGACGGTGCGCCTTAAACTCCGAAGTGCCTTATCGTGTGGAAAATACGATATATGAGTTATATGGCCCTCCAATGGTAACATTAACTACGTTGTGACCCATGACAAAAAAAAAATGAGATGACACTCCTGGTTTCAACACTTCTCTGCTCCAAAGTAGTTATTTTCTTCTTTGAAATGAAAAAGCGCCATCATGAAATGAAAAGCACCGATGTACCACACAGTGTCAATGCGTCGCCAGATGATCAATGCACTTGTCGAGCATTCAATCGGATGGCTTTTGGAGCTCACAAGCCCCTCCTGCTGTTCTTGCTTCGGTATTGTTGTGCCGTGTGCGAGCCTCAAAATGTATCTTGTCTATCTTTGCAGGAGACCTACCTTATGAAGCACATGTCCAAACACACGGTGGTGGAACACCTAGTGAGCCACCAGTCCCCCCAGAGGACCGAGTCCCCCACTATCCCCATACGGATCTCCCTTATCTGAGCTGCCTGGCGCAGTGTATCGGATCTGTTCAGGGTCCATGTTCGGCGCGAGCCTCACAGGCCCCGCACCTGCGGTCATCTACGTAAGGCTTACATTAGCATTATGACAGCCGACGTATGCGTTCAGTGCTCGAGTCGGCAACAGGGGGCGCCATTTAGTGAATGTAACAATACCGGGAGATGTTGTCCTGAGGACAGGGGAGTGGCGAAGAAGGTCTTGTGTTCGATTTAATCAGCACTTTCCTAAGCGTCATGGAAACAGCCTGCACCTGTTTTTGCAAAGAGTAGATGATTCTTTATGAATCAGATAAATTGGCCATCAAAATATATGCTTTTTTTTTTCTTTTCTTCATCCTCCTCCTCCTCCTTTGATGGGATTTGTAGGTGTGCCGGATAATTAATTCCTCTCCCAGAAAAAGAATTGATCAAGTTGTTTGCTGGGTGTGTTCTGGAGACATCCAAAGAGAATCTTGAAGCACTTTGTAGGTCTCGTTGCTTTGGCCCAAATTGTTGAAATCGTATTGGTTGGCACAACGCCAAAGGGCATTCATGATCTGTGGCAGCTAGGAGCAGTGACGGATGGTGTCGAGAGAAGAAAAAAACAAAACAGGCTACTGTGGTTACTGTTGTTTGTTTCACTCACATGGTTGTTCAAGAACACGCTGACAGGGTCGTTGAAATTTCGAGAGGCAATCATAGATGACAATGAAGGCATTTATTGATTGTATTGTTTTATTCATGCGAGGAGGGAAGGAGTACAGACGCGTAAAAGGGAAGCAAAGTTCTCGCCTGCACCTCAATCCTTCACTCCCTCTTTGATGGCACCTTGGTGATCACGTCACATGATCACAGGAACACCGCTTTTCATAACCCCCCCCCCCCCCGCCCCGCCTTTCCCACTTCCTGCAAACTGGTGCCATACGTTGAAAGCCAATCTTGAAATGTAAAGCTTTACAGGTATTAGTTGCTGTACACTTAAATTTGTGCGAGGTCTAATCAGCCGTTAGCGTTACCACCCTTACTAAAAACAATCTAGATACAACTCAAGGCTACACTTAAGTTTTACATGAGTAGCGAGCATTAACTCTAACCATTGGACCAAAGTGTACAGTATTGAGTCAGGCTTTTGTCAAAAGCTTCACGCGCAAGGAATGAACCGCAAGATAAACATCCACGATGCTTACAATTTGTCCGGAACGTCTTCACTGCGCTTCACTTTTCCCACGTTTTACGATACAGCCTTATTACAAATTTGAATCACTTCCTTTTGTTCTTCAATTCTACACCCATAATGACAACACCCTTTTTTTTTTTTTGCCAAAGAAATCAGACGAGCATTCACAGCCGTTGCTCAGTACATTGTGGAGACAAGTCTTTTTGAACGTGATGCCACAAGCCTTGGCACACCTACTGTATGTTTGGGCAGTTTCGCCCATTCCTCTTTGCGACTCCTCCAAAGTACCATCAGGGTGGATGAGGAGAGCCCGTGCGCAGCCATTTTCAGATCTCTCGCTATGCAATCAGATCCAAGTCTCGGTTCTACCTTGGCCACTCTAAGATATTCATAGAGTGTGTCCTGAAGCCTTTGATTTCTTGACTGTGTGGTCGGGGGTTGTCCTGCTGAAAGCTGTGAATTATCAACCCCAGCGCGAGGTCAAAAGTGCACCGGAGTAGGTTTTTTTTTTTTTTTTTTTTTGGACGTTGTCGAAATCAGTTTTTGCTCAGTTCTGACTAGTCTCCCCGCTATTTCCGCTGAAAAGGCATTTCCGATCTCATACGGTAATAGCAAGTAAAGATTTGGGCGCAGTTGGCACACTCTGACGGCGACGATCGTAGCCGCTCTGTTGTAAGACCAACGAATCCCAATGATTCGGAAACATTGCTTTACCGAACTGAGAATGGAACTGATCGGTTCATGAAGCCATTCAATCATCTCGTTCACTCCAAAGATTTTTTTTTTAAATTCAAACGAGATGTTGAAATCGAAGCGCCGTCGAAATCTCTCCCGCTATCCGAAAATGCTTGGTGCGCAAATGTGCAATGGCAGACTTGAACTAGAGCGGGAATTTTTCATTCCAGCACGCACGCATGCGCACCACTTACAGTATGTCAACCCGTTTGGGGCAAAGGGGGTCCAGACCTGCGTACATGGATTTTTTTTTTTTCATAAATACTGAATTTATTTTTTATCTTAAAAAAATGTCATTATTATGAGGTGCTGTGTGTAGAATTTTTTTTTTGGGTGGGGGGGGCGATTTTGGAATAAGGTAACGCAAAATAGAAAAAAGTCAAGTGCAGTGAACACGATCTAAAATGTATTGTACATGCCAATATTCTTGACGCCTTCATTAAAAAAAAGTTTTTTTTTTAATTCACGTTCTCTCGTGTAGTATTTGGACTGCAACACAGTATTGTTCGTTTTGTTTCCGTTGTACTTCTCACCCACTTGATGGTACAAAATGGGGTACGCTGTATCCTTCAGGGCACTTGTGAAAAGGTGCGACGGCGAGGTGTCACGCCCGAGAAGGAACCGTGAACGGTGTACATAAATAAACGGTAAAAGAAAAAAAAAAGTCCAAGTGGAAGACTCGAGTCACTAGCCTGGGCAACTTTTGACATTTACAACCAACAACAAACCCTGCCTCTTCCACATAACTCTCTCTTTTGGAGATAATGGGCAGAATGTTCCTGTTCCTGTACTGTATAACAACTTAGTCATTTATAATATCTATTTTTAAAGGTTGAATAAAGACGATCTGTTTGGAGAGGAAAAACGATGACCTTTGTATGTTATTAATCTTTTATATCGGTTATTTGACATGTAAGCCTTAACTGTTTTCTCATCCCATCTCCATTACTCTGTATTGTGTTCTGCAGTATTCAGTCCTGTAAACATTCGTTTTTTTTTTTTTTTCTTGTTCCCTCCTGCATGGAGCTGTAATCTGTATGATAACTGTCTAACCTGAGTTCTCAATGGAAAAAAATTATTGGGGAGGTTTATGAAACTTTTTTCCCCGTCTTGCATTGTGGCTTCAGATACTGTTTCGAGACAACTAAATATGCACAATCAAGACTGAAAAGTTAACCCGTGGGTTAGCGGTGTTCAAACTGAAAAAGTAGAAGAAAAAAAAAACAACAACAAAAAAAAAAAGCTTTGTATCTTTACCTTGTTTAATAAAAGAGACCGTTCTAAATTCTGTGCAGTCTGCTTTTGTTTTGTTTGGAATGGAAACCGGATACATGCAGAGCAAGACGCATGAGCGCATTTGTGTGGCGTTCTTTATTTATGAAAATAGTTGGTACAAAAAACATTTACTTCGTCAAGGTTCTTTTGAGTTCCATGCACACTGATATTTATCAACCTTATCACACAGCAGCAAGACAAAGTCACACTTTGTCATTTTGGCATGTTTTACACCAAAAAAAAAAAAAAGGGTTCTTCTGGACCTATTGTATATACTGTGATGCAATGGTACTAAAGCTTCCTCTTAGTTAGGCCCACCTTTACAAACAGGCTTACATGGACTGGACCCCAGGGGCTGACATTAATCAAGGGCCTATCGGGATTTATCTATCATCGCTGTCCTGTGAAAAACACGTCCATTTTTTGTCATTAAAAAAAAATATGTAAAAAATAGCACCTGTACATAGGGACCATCCAAAAGTACAGATCTGTGAAAAAATAAACTATTGTGAGACATGAGGTTTCGGCCTCACGCCAGCACTTCAGAAAGGCAGAAGATTTGACGCAGCTCTGTTGTTGGCTATCATGATCTCGCGTCATGGTCAGAATTTTTGTGGCTGCTTGGTGCATACTATGGCATAGGTAACTACACAGGCAACACCATCACTAAATGTAATAACACTGTCAACACCAAAGTACAAATTGTGGTTTCGAAAACAAAATATATCAAAAAAAAAGATCAAAATGCAAATTATTCCCTTCCTACATTTTCCTAAATGTAAACATACTTGTGATAAAGTGCTATTTTAAATCTCAGTCAGATATCATTTCAACATTCAATGGCCTGACATACTTTGTCCTACATCTCGTTCCATTAATATTATGCTATTATTATTACAGTCTTTTCATTTCAAATATATTTTTTACCATTTGCCTTTTTGTTGTCAGGTTCCGCTGCCTGTCACGCATCCTCGCTGCTATTTGGACTCTCCACGGTAGTGTCAGGCGGGAAGAGTGGCGAAACAAGGTTCAGGTAGCCTTGTTCTGGCGGCTGCTGCGCGGAGACAGATGCTCGCGTGTCGTCCGACACGTGCTCCAACTTGCTGCGGGAGATGGCGTCCAACAAGTCCCAGGGGTCATAGGCACCCGATGTGAGGCTAGTGAGAAGAATGAATATGTCTGGTGGTAGAAATGCGGCACTTCACAATCATGATTGGTCTTTCTTTTCAGACTCATACCTTAAATTTGATGTTTGAATGAGGCCGTCACAAAGAGCTTTCTTGGAATGCTGTTCAATTGACACCGTTAATATGTTAAACTCGGAGTAGAAGAGGGACACACTGACAGGTACCGAGACATGCCGCTCAATTCACCAAACAGGTTGAGCTCGAACACTCGCTGAGTGCAGTTTGCGTGTGTGAGCGCGCACAATTGTGTGTTACCTCATTGCAGTTGAAGGACTGGGCGTTCCTCAAGGCACGCTCCAAGGCACTGACCTGATTGGACAGCCTCAAAGTTTGATCCTGTAGGCGCCCGTTTTCGGCTTCTAAGACAATGACCCTTGGAGAGACACACTGTTCCTTCAGTGCGAGTTTCCCTGCGACTACCACTCTCAACTAATTGACTTATCCATGGGAAGGACTGTCAAATCTGCTGTTGAAAAGGTAAAAAAAAAAAAATCAAACCGACACCTGTGTTGGACAGTGGAAGCCGCCCTCATGCCATTGCTGCCCATCTCCTCCGCCTCGCTTATCTTCAGCAACAACGTCCTCCTCTCCTCCAGAAGCTTCTCATTTTCCTCCATCACATTATGGCTGCTCTCCTTTTCCTGTAGGTTCAGGGTAATTTGTACGCAATTCACGATGAACTTTTCAATGAGGACTTGCGTCCAAATCGGTTACACAATATGGCGGCACGTGGCAGCATCATCCTGACCTTGTTCAAGAGCCCGGCGGCCAGGGCTAAGTCATTCTCCAGTTTCTGGATGGCGTTGTCCCGTTGCGCGGTTGCCTGGACAAAGATCTGCTTGGCCTGATGTAGTTTGGTCTTGTGTCGACTCTGCTTTTCATTGTACTTCCTAGTTGGAATCACAATGAAGCTATGAACCCGAAACATTGCCCTCCCACGTGTTAAGTTAGACCTACGTACGACTCATAGGCTGAGACGATGTGCATGTTGAAAAATGTTTAAAGTTACATTCCATGCAAGAAAAAGATTTTGGTCTGACCTGACGTATGTATTCAGCTGGACGAAAACCTGCTTGAGCTCTCCCTGCATTCTGTCACAATCGAGTTGACTGGCCGCTAGATCATCCTTCAGTCTGCGACAAGAGGCTTGATCATCTCTTATCTGAAAGACAAATGAACTTGCCATCGGTCTGAACCGGAGGGGAAAAAAACCCAAAACATTAGTTTTCTCTAAGCAGACACACTTGGGTGTCGAGCACAGGTGTGAAACTCAAGGCCCGGGGGCCAGATCTGGCCCGCCACATCATTTGATGTGGCCCACGAAAGCAAATCAAACATGTATAAGCATATGCTTCCTAAAATTTGTACTAAAATTTCAAATTCTCGTATGTAATATGTAAGAGAGTTATTGTAAGTTTTATTGTTACCAAAACCCTCATTACAGTAACTTGAAACTATAGTTGAATAAACCATTATTCTTGACTTCCTTATATGGTTTCACAGTCCTGCGACAAAATGAGTTTGACACCCCCGGTGTAGAGTATGCAGTGCAATAGAATTATAGATCCAAGAAGATGGACTCTGAGGCAAAAGAATGGAAGCTGGGATCAAGCTACTTTTTGTAAATTCCTGGTGGAACTTCATTTTTGAATTTTTCTTGAAATTTACGTCATGTTTTTTCAACCGCGGTTCTTTCAAGGGCCCGCTGCCCATTGTAAGGAGTGTGAAACGTGATATAATGGTAACGATGAAGACATTCTGTACCTCCTCTCGGGCCTTATTAAGTTCTGCCTCCAGCTGTCGTGCTCGGTGGCTGAGCTCGGCGTTGGTTCTGGTGAGCGAGGCCTCCTTCAATCTCAGAGAACGTACCTGGTGCTGGAGCTCCTCCTCACGCTGCTCCAAAAGCTTCCTTAAAAAGAGAGATGGACGGTGAGGTCAGCTGGGCTGTAGTTGGCGATACGGGACAGGTCAAAACAGGTCATTGGGTTGCGTTTCTGCACTTTGTTCGGACCTTTTGATGTGGTCCTCCTGCTGCTGGGCTCTCAACGTGGACAAAGTGTCAGACAGATCTTTGCTGTCCCGTTCCAGGCGGCTGCTCTCGCTGGACCGAGCTTCCTCCATGCGCAGCTGGTGCTGTGTCATCTTGAGCTGTTGCTGCAGCTCCACAACCTGTCGTTACAATCAAACGCAATTGATAACAAACCGGCGCTACTCAGTCTACCTAAAACTGTACTAACATCAACTGGTTCAGATCTTCTTCTGGATCTATGGACTAAAATGTAATACAACTGTAGCTATGAACACCAAATAGGTTCATCTAAGGACAAAATGGCACAGGGCTTCCAGTTTCGGGGTACTCTGGCATCCTCTCACAATTCAAAAACATTCATTTGGTTCATTGAAGACTTGAAATTGTCTGTTGGTGCAAATGCTCGTTTGTCTACATGCGCTTTGCGATTGTCTGGCAATCAGTCCAGGGTGTGCCGAGCCCAACTGACCTATGACCCTAATGAGGATAAGCATTGTAGAAAATTGCACTGATGGACATAATTGGTGCCAAATGCGCTGGATCAGATCCAAA